TATATATATATTTATACGTAAACTAAACTGTAAAATAATTTCACGTAAAATTGTGTGTATATCTTCTGTAAATAAAAACAAATGTGTAACATATATTAATATATGTATGTTAATATTTCATATATTACTTAATTGTTTTGCGTTTTATCAGTCGAATTTTTTTAGTTGCAAACATTGATTTCTCATTTAATTTAAGACAGATTTAATGTATATGAGGTAATTGTTACGCGTACAAGAGATGCTGTTAATTCGTTTTTTAAAGGAAGAAACAACATCATTTTGAGAGAACAAATAATTTTATAAATATGGTATTATATACACATAATTTTTATATATACAGATCTGTATACGAATAGTAATATTTTACATATGGTAAATAAAAAATATTTACTTGACATTGCGTGTAATGAATCAGGCTGCTACAGAAAATATTTATTGCCAAAGACACATGATATATAAAACACACATATATGTAATAATGTTCTTTATTATTGTAAATACATTTCCGCTTATGTGTTTTGCAAAATATTAAGACAAAATTATGTGTTTTGTGACACGATCTATGTTGATGATATTATTGTTGAAAACTTCTTTCTTATGTAAAATAAACGATAGGTAACAAATAAATAGATAGCAGGAAAATTGTTACGTGAATATCATAGAAATAGTGTAATACTAATGTAAAAAAAAAAAAACCATTTGCAAAATTATATTTCTCCTATTGGAGTGCGTAATTCTTTAAAAATATTTTATATAGCAAGGTCTTTAAACACGATGAGAACGATTTATGACACATTGCTACAATGTCGCTATATTGTATTTATCATTTGTAATAAAACAGTTTTGTTAGAGTTATGATGTGCTATAGTACAAATACAATGGTTATACAATGGTTCGATATCTATTATATCTTACCTTGTGATACCATTCACGATTTGAATTAAATCCCTAATCCTTGACCTTGGCTTGGTCCTTGCCAGTAAATCGATATATCGATAACATGTTCGGTGATGTTTGGTGGCGTGTTGTTAGGGCAACCGAAATTGCGGTACATTGCAGAGAGAGTACATTGTGCAAGTTATAAAAGTGTATGACAGAAACTTGGAAAATATTCTTATTTATAGAAAGATAAACGAGAATTTTTTAATACATTATGAGTGAAAATGTGAAATTTATTTTGACAGAAATAAATAAATTATTAGGTCGAAATTACAATTTAATTGGATTCAATGCCTTGAATGCTGAAGAGCTATTGCAGGTATTTTCTCACTATTTCATTTTGCAGTATTATTATATTCACGTAAAATTTGAATAAAATTAGAATTTTATTTAACTGAATATATTTTTTGTGTAGATATTAAGCAATGTTTTAGTGAAGATACAAAACCAAGATGGTTCAGATATCGATGTTAAACTAGAATCTCCTGAAGAAAATTCTATATATATTTTAACATCTCTTCGCATTCTCACTTATCAGCCTGATGTTGATCCTGTAACGTTTAAGTAAGTTTTAAATGTGAAACAAACACAAATCACCTTTGTATCTTGTTTCTTCAAAAATATATATCACTTTTTTATAAAAACTATAATATATAAAAAATATATAGAATACACAGTGTATATATAAAAAAATATAAAAGAAAGAATGAATTTGTTTAGGCAAGGCTTAATTCGAGGCGATGTTGAAATTATTCATCCTATATTGACATGGCTTTTAACACATATGGATATAGTTAAAAAACGAGCATATCTCTCACGATTTCTTGTTAAGGTAACAGCTGTACAATATCTGTTGTCTTTGTAATTATAGAAGTAAGTTTAAGTAAGTAACAATATAAAATACAAAATGGAAACAATTGTTAAGATATCAGAATGCCATATGGAAACTACATATATATATATATGTGTGTATATATAATTAAACATCTAAAATTATTAGATTGAAATCCCACCGGAATACTTGGGAGATTCAGAAATATCTCTTCTGTATGAACAATATTTGTCGCTCGTTGATAGTTTTAAAACAGTTCACAAAGAAAGAGAAATAGGAAAGAAGGTACATATACGTACATCGCAAAAATTTATTTTTGAATAAATATTGATTTGTGCTTGGCTCTTTTAAGTTTTGTTTTCTTACCTATTATTATGTGAATTAATTAACAAGTTTTACTTATGTAGAATGTCGAAACTACTAATGAGCTCGCAACAGATTTGCAAGCAATGGCAAAGGAGAAAGAAGTATGTTGCGTAATATACACTTTAACATTAATTAAAGTTTTATACATTATAAGTTCATTATATATATATATATATATATAATTATATATAAAATTAATATTAAAACTTATATTTATATTAGGCAGTTACAGCACGTATCGGTAGAATTAAAGCAAAGGCTGAACCTGCGCTACACTTGCTGGACGCCTGCAAATTGTTACGAACAGAAAGAGACAAAGAACGTGATTTAATATCGCAGAAGGAACAAGAAGAGGATATCATATCAGATTTACAGGCAAACTTCCTGTAAAAATTATATACGCGTTTAGTGTGAAAAAAATTAATAAAAACTTTTAATTAGTTATATAAAAATAATTAGTCTAGTGGCTAAATGTGTGTGTATGATGTGTGTGGTTTTACGTACACAAATGCTCACTTATATTTTTGTCCGCTATTCCAGAATTCTCTTCAACGAGTCGAACGCGAATTACAAACATTGCAACGTAATGGTATCGGGCTCAGTCCGCAAATATTAATCCAACATTTAGCAGAGGAAGTAACGGTACAATCCGCAATTGTAAACGAAAAGCTTCCGTCTGAGTTAAACGCAAAGAAAAATCGAATGAAAGCTCTAACGGTAGTCAAAGGATATCCTTATTTGAGTCCGGATAAAATCACAAGTATGAGGAACGATCTGGATATGATACTAAAGGATATACAGGATTTAGTCGAATCCAAAGTAATAAAAAATAATAAAATAGAGTTTTCGTTATATATGCGTATATAATAATATGTATGTAAAGTTTAACAGTTGATTTGTGCATTAATAATAATTGTTTTTTTTTTTTTTTTTTTTTATAAACAAATGTTTTCAGATATCCAAAACTGACATCGACAAAATGGAGCCATTTAGACAACAAGCCGCTGCTGTCGGAAATATGAAACGGAATGCTCTCGAACGTTTAGAGAAGATCGAGAGAACTTTGGAAGAGCTACAGTTGCGATTACAAGAGAAACAGGATTATTCAAAAACGTTGTTGGAAACGTCAATACCTCGAGCGGAGGAATTGCAAAAATATATTAATCGTTTGAAAACTAAAAGTACAGTGTATAAACGTTGCAAAATGGAAATAGCCGGCCTGAAGGCAGAAAATGGTGTACTTCATCGAACAGTAACCATTCTGGATGGACAGGTAATTATACAGATTGTATGATGTAGAAACACATTGTAAGAGAGAATATATGCGCTTTGTGTCGTTGTATCATGATTGTGTTGTGTACGATTTCAGATTGTCCATTATCCAATGGACATAGCATCTAAAGTAATTATTCCAGAAAATTATACGTCGGATAATGCACTAACAACAAATATTCAATTGTCTCATTCGATATTAGCTCTACGAACAAATCTTGTTCCGGTTATAAGAGGTATTGAACAAAAAGTTTGTGCAAATAAGAAATATTTATTTTAAGCAAATTATTTCGTTATAAAGTATCCCAATGACATATTGTATAAATCTTACGAAGAACAATTTTATAATATATAATCTACATCATGGGAGTGTATGTATAAAATATATATATTTTTGTAGATATCAAGACATTGCGGCAAACAGTACGAGAAATTGATGAGAGATATCAGAAAGCATGCAAAAGTCATAATACGGTAGAAACGAGTATGAAAAATACAACGAGCGATTTATTATCAGAAACAAAACGGTTAAAGGATAAATTATTGAAGGTAAAATTTAATGTGATACATATGATATATGCGGGTTAAGTTAGGTTATATATGTAATTGTTGCTGTATTATAGGATAATGAAGATAAAGCTCAATTGCAACGAAAGATTGCAAAAATAAAACTTATAGAAGAAAGACTATGTAGTGAAGCAGAGGTCAGTATACATTCTGAATTAAAAATAATTTATGTTGTAATCTTTAACAATAAGTTTTTTTTGTAATCTTTTTAATAAATTAAACTTAATATAATGTAAGCTTGTGTGGTTTTTTTTTAGACCAACGTTATCAACGTAGGGCAAATATTAAAACAGGAATTACAGAATACGATTGTGGCGGAAGAAGAAGAATTAATAAATTTAAAAAAGGAACAAGAAAAATTAAAACAACACGTCGTACAATATGAAAAGCAAACACAACAATGGAATAATATTATCTTGTAAATATAAAAATAATAAATAACAAATTTAATCAAAAATATTTATTAAAATATTATTTTAAAATGTAATTTTGTATGTTTTAGAATCTTTACATGTAAGATTCAATGTGCAGAAGAGAGCAAACAAACCAATGGCGTAGTCGTGCGGAATGGAGGCGCCGAAACTTTGGTGTTGCAGTGATAATATTTATATATAAATATTTATATATAAACATATTAAGATTTATACATAATCAATCTTTCTCTCTCTCTTTCTCTCTCTCTCTCTCTCTCTCTCTCTCTCTCTCTCTCTCTCTCTCTCTTTCTATCCTCTCTGTAGGACTTTCTAATTGAAAAATTAAGAATGACATCATCTTTTTCTCGTTTCTACGAGACGACCTCTACCAGAATCTTGAACTGACGTTAATACGTGAGTTAGAGAGGGGAAAGTAAGTTGATCGCCTCGAAGCAGTTACGTAGACGGAGACGCAGTCGTGTTTGATGCGTGAACATATTCGTGTATGTGTTGGAAATATTAATAGTTTCAAATTATACAAAAGGTCATATATCTTTCTAAATATCTGCAAAGTCAAACCGTCATCATTTATGAAAAATTACGATGGCGAAAAACAAATTTGTTGTCTTTGTGATGACTTTGTTGTTGTTGCTATTTATTGGTAAAGTTTTCTTTATTTATTTATTGTATTTCAAAAGTAATTCTGAGAAAAAGATCAAATGATGAAGTAAGATCAAGAAAAAGTTTACGTGTAATACACATTAATAGTATTTACACAAAATAAAATTTTTTTAAAAGTTTGTAAAAAAACATAATATATTGGATGTTTATTGTATGTAAATATATTATTTGATTGTTATCTAAAATTAAAACTAACGCAATAACTCTGTAAGAGAAATTGGAAATTACAACTGCAGTTCTTTTAAAACTATGATGATTTTTAAGATTTTTGAATTATTCATTTGATACTTCTGTGTGAAAGAATTTTTAGTTAACACTATCAAATATTTAATGTAAAAATAATTTAAAAGGTAATAAATTGTACAGTTATAATTTCAAAAAAACTGCAATTGTAATTTAATATTTATTGAAAGTTTTCTTTGTGGATGTATCAAATGAATGATTTAAGCAAATTCAGAAATTGTATCATTATAATGGTAAGATTACGTCGATATCTTGTATGACCATTATGACCCAGTAAAAGTGATAAATAACATTGAATATAAACCAAGTCTGATTTATTCGATTTTATTTCAATTTTTTCATATTTCCTTATAATATCCAAGAGTATAGAGTTTATTTTTTCTTTAGAAAAATCGTAATTAAAAATTATTAAAATTGATTCTTATAAAAATAAAATCATATACAAATTATAAAGATAGAGGAAAGAGAGAACGAGATTGTGTTCGATTCTTCGTTTATAGGTCACGTAGAAGAAACATTAAGAAAACAGAATGTAAATCTCACTAGCTCTCACTTAGTCTAATCAAAACTCTAAATGATTTAGTCGTTAGTGAGATATGCGAATATATTTAAAAAATGTTTAAATCAGTTTCAGTAAAAAAACAATGCATCTTGTCGTTCGCGTGAATTTGATGCGAGACCTTGTAATTTTATAGGAAGTAGTGAAGCAGGATGGAAATTTTGGAAGAAAGACAAAGAAGCCATTACCACTACGATCGCTCCTATACTTATAAGCGTACAATCTCCTACTAGTCCGACGCCAGAAACCACGACGACGACCAGAGGACAAACTGTCAATACCCGAGCTGCTGCAACAAAAGCCGCTAACCCAGCATTAGCTATTGACGCAGGAATCACCGAAAAAAATACACTAAACAACGCGCGATCTAGTCGACCTAATCCTGGGACAGAGGTCGGTCTGGATATTATCGTTCCAAAACCGAGGCAACCCGGAACTGATGGAAATAATCGAAATTATCGAGATTGGGCCGTAAGTTTTGCCGGAGCTGAGGAACCATCTCGAAACCAGCCAGAAGCATCCGCTCAGAGACCAAAGATTAACAATAATAACAGCGATAAGCCTAATCTATCTGCAGGTAGCATTGCCTTTTATTTCACCATCAAATTTAAATTTATTTATCAAGAATTAATTGTTAATATCTTTTAAAGTTTATTATTAATATTTCTTTCTAAATTCTTTATAATTCTTTAATTTCTAAATTTTTTTTTAAGTGACACCCGTACCAGCAAACGTGCCAACTCAACGAATTCAATCAACTCAGCCGACTCAACGAACTCAATCACCTCAACCAACTCAACCATCTCAACCAACTAAAACAACTCAAACCGTAGGTCTGTAATATCGAATTGAAAAACGTTTGTTTGCAAGTAAAAATTTTTATCTTATATATAAAACTCGTTTATATCTAAAATTATGAAATATGTAATCAGTATTAATTTTTACGTTACGGATGTTTATAATCGCTCGCCATCTTCATATATATATATATATACAGGGTGTCCCAGAATTGGTTTAACATCGCTCGTACACAGGTAGAAGGAATAAAACTAAGGTGAAAAGTCCTATACCATTTTGCTAGATTTGCAATAGTTACCGAGATTTTAATTAACAAAGATCCGCGAATAAGCGTGC